TCTCGACCAAGAGTGCTTTACTAGAGGAGTGTCCTGATAAAATGACAGTGTTTCCCGCCAATGATAGAAGTAAGGCTATCATCTTCGCTTTCTATCATCTTCGCTTCGTACTTCTAAAATCATCAGCTTTATTCTTATGTTTGCTACTGTTCATCAAGGCCAAACCACTTATACTCTTGGCTGTAATTTGTTGGACCCATGTTACCAACAAAAGTAGTAATCAGCCTTTCTTTCTTCAAAGCCGTGCGTTTCTCCGTGAGCTTGTGGCTTTTATTCTACGTTAATCTAGAAACCTGCTGTGTCAATTTTGATTAGTTTTATGGTCTAGCCAATCGGCCGCAGACTTCATCAACTTGTATAGTCTGGCTAGGATTCCATCGGGTTTTGAGTAGCCCTTGCCGACCAACTTCTGTCCTATTTCTTTTAGCCAATTCCATTTGATAACCTTATGTGAAAGCTGCATCGGCTCCATACCAACTATCTTCTTTTTATCTTGATAGCTCCAAAATTAATCCTTACACCTCACAACCAACGTTCATGAGTCAATATCTTGTACACCACAACACCGCTTCACCGTCAGACATCTGACGCTAAAAATTATATTTGGCAATGGATGATCTGACGCTAAAGATAACTCAAAGACCATATGACGCTAAATCCTCATTTAGCGATTTGTTGTCTGTCGCTATAGATGTTCATGTTTAGCGTTAGCCCATCTGTCGCTAAAACCAGATATAGCGTTGATCTGTCTGACGCTAAAAAAAATGGGCCCCACGTCCAGCTCACGTGCCCTATCTCCGTAAGCAGTTCGTGAGCAAATTTTTGCCTGGCCCACAGTACAGTGACAAACCCTAGACTCTTCCCATATGGTGCCCACGGCAAACGCACGCAGCCCCGGCCGCCTTATCCCATTGCTCGGCCATCGCTCCCCATCCACCCGCATCTATCTCTCCCTCACGACCTCCTCCCAAAAGACTGACGCCGGCGTCGGCGCCCCTGCTCCTCCATTCCCAACGCGAGCTCTCCCTCCCTCCCTTCTCCGGCGCTGAGGTCGCCCTACTCCCTAGATAGGCCATGGTGGCGCGGGTCAGGCATGGTGCACGAGCTCATAGCCGCCAACCATAACCCTAGCCACCGACCGATGTGGTGGCCGCCCTTCTTCTCCCCTGGCCAGATTGATGACGGGGTGGCCGCCCTTCTTCTCCCCCGACCGAATCTAGTACGGGATGGCCGCCCTTCTTCTCCTCTAGCCGGATCCACGGCGAGTCGTCTACCCTTCTCCTCCGGCCGGATCCACGACATGGCAGCCAGATCCACGACGCGGTGGCGGCGGCGGCTGCAGCGGCAGGTTCATTGTTTCCTCTCTGTTTTTCCTCTCCTGCATGGTGGGCGGCGGATCCTGTGTTGTGGGTGGTGGATCTGGTGTTGTGGGGGCTCGGCATGGTGGTGGCTCCTCGAAATTTTGACCGAAACCAACTAGCTTACAACGTGCTGCCCACAATTCATTCTGTTTTATTAGAGTATATTGTTTTACCATCTAGCTAATTGAGCGCCTGGTAGCTGATACATTTTCGATTGAGCAAATTGATGTCATCGTCCACTTCTTCGAAGGCTTCTTATCTCTTAAACTTGTGAGCTAATTTATATTTTCAACCTTGTGCTTGAATTAATACTGAAAGCAACCTCGTTCGCTCTCTCGAATAAACTGCTCTTTAACTCTTGTATAGTAAAAATTAATCAGTAGCAGCAGCACTAGTATAGTAAAAATCAATCAGTAGCAGCAACACCTAGTATACATGTTTATTGTCTTGCTCTACTGTAGCGCTGCTCAGTCTGCTATCATATAATGTAATAATCATGTATATAAATTATCAGCACAGTTCTTGGTGACATATTAGAGCTGACCATGGCCAGATACATTATTGCTTATACTTGTTACTTGTCATATTGTTTCAGTGATTTGGATTGGTACTGCTCCATATACAGCCGTGTTCTTCAAATCAGTCCTAAGATTACTGCTATAGGCAAGTGCAATCTACCTTGTAAGTTTCATTTATCTATTCTTTGCCAGTATTTTTTACATTTTTTATTAGAAAAAATAGAATTTTTATGGAAGCTGTCCTGCCAGTGCTTCACATTGCCATAATTTCTGTATATTGTTGATAGCATGTTTGCATTTGGTTAATTTTTTGATATGAAGTAATGTGACCTGACCTGACACGACTTCTGATGTCAACTCCTTTTAATTTGTGTGACTATGCTAGTGAGACATCATTAACCAAAACTGCACTATGCCATTTGTATTCTCAGTGCTAGTTTAAAGCATTAAGCCTTATTCGTGTAGTCAAGCTAGAAGAATGTCACATTTTGTTCTAGAATTAATTTGGATATTCAATATTGCTCTGTAACATCAACTTGGCTACTGTGTTGCTCAGGTGTTCACCAGCTCACGTAGTTGGTGCTCTGCTCTTTTATCGCTGCTCCGCCACTGCCGCCGCCGCCCCGCCTCCCCTCCGCTACTGGACGTTGTTGGTGTGGCCCTCGACAGGACGCCGCTCCTCTGCCCCACCCACACCCCCATGCCGCCCCTCCGTGAAAGTACGCCACCGGCTAGTTCCGACAGCACACCGCCGCTCTGGACGCCTTCTCTTCCCTTGCTGTTGTGCTTCGCCGGTGATGAGCGCACCCACCAGGCATGCGCGCCCCTTCTCTTCCCTTGCTGTTGTGTGAAAGCCAGCACCCGAACCCTAACTTAAGCTATTTTGTAGATCTGAGGAGGAGGAGGCCGGGGAGAAGAACCGGAAGTCACAGCTCACCCGAGCGGACGCTTTCTCCAGCGCCCCCCGGAGAAGTTGTTGCCGCCGAGCTGCGCCCCTCTTCCCCATCAAGAAGAGCCTCATGTATTTTGGTTTTAATTCATAAGTCTAATTTGGAGCTCTGGCGTACTCCCTGGAATGGTGATTGTGTACTAGTGCTAGCAGTAGGAGTCTAATACTAATATTTCGGAACATTTGTTTCCAGTTAAGGCCTGTTGTGGTGTAGTGAGTTGACATAATTTTCATTTTGCCTTGATCTGTGATGCATGACCAATGTTCTTAATTAAACCTATCTGTGATAGGTAAAGGAATGCAAGAAAAAGGAGTGCAACAAGGCATCTAGACCTCTCAAGGGCATTGTAGGTATGTCCATAAATTTACATTCATCAAACTACGTACAAAACTAGTGACAAATTGTAAAAACCTAGTGACTAAATTCAGCATATAGAAATATATTTGGAAGACAATTACTAACATTCTGTTCCATCCTCAAGTAATGATTTAACTCAATGCTTACTGTTTCTAAACAAAGGTGTCTTGACCTTTTTACTGATATTTGTACTGTTTTTAAGCTGAAAAGGAGCCTGATTGTCTAGTTAAAGAATAGTAGTATTATTTTCAGATGTCGGGCCTCATTAGCAAGCAGTATTATTTTCAGATGCCGGGCCTCATTAGCAAGCAGAAGCTGTTTAGTTAAATTGAATTGGTTGGGTAATGAAATTTAGAGCACAAGCATCTTCCTTTTTTTTCTCAGAGCACAAGCATCTGATGCTCACATATATGGGTACAAGACTAGTTAAGCAGCAAGGTGCTAGTGGGGAGCAACTACGTCTTGTCCTTGAAGCTCTGAACCTGATCAGGGATTCACGGCAGTGCCCAGCAGTGATGCGGGCCTTGCCGATGAGGCTATGATGTTGGCCCCAAACTTGAAATTTAGTAGTAACTTTAAGACCTGTTCATACTGTATGGTTTCATTCACCAGAGTTTTGTTGAAGCACAAATCCATGACCTTGCATTACTGTTTGAATTTTGAACATGAATCTTCACTGCCTCCTTTGTATTGAAGACATGTTTTACTCACTTGTGCAGCATGAAGGATGTTAGCAGCTCAATGGCAGTTGATCACAGTTGACAACATCAGGTTTGTCAACTCTCTATTCTTCACATTGTAGCAACAACATCAGCTCGACGGTCGCACTGAGCTTTATAGAATGCTTTGCATGTGTGTTGACAGTAGCACTAGATCAATAGCAGCATGTGTTGTTTTTCTTATTTAGCCTTTAGTTTAATTTCTCTCTTGTTTAATTAATTAGAGCATTTATTAGCTGGCAGATTAGTAAGCTAAATCAATTAGAGCATTTAGTAGCTGGCAGATTAGTAAGTTAAATCCATTATTTCTTTGCTTCCAATGATGTATTATTGTCGAAGTGATATTTATGTACATGTATTTCAGGGAATTAGGCCTTCTCTGTTTTGAGAATAACACTTTATATCTTATAGAGTAATACACAATTTTACTACTATAGAAGTGATGATTTCATCTTGTTCCATACTGATATGCTTGGGGTTGGTTGATTAGTTCCTCATTGGTTGTAGTATTTAACTGTAATACACAATTTTACTACTATTAGACTGATCCTAGCGTTAGTTTACTATACTAACTAGGTCCTAATATTGTATCATTATTGACTGTTATGTAGAAAATCCATACCCGGACAAAGTTGTGGGATGGGTTAATTTCTAGACCCAGTGTACTGAAGGTGTTTACTAGATACTGGAGATAGAGATGGATGGGTCTGGACACATTACCTCATTATTGCTAACCTGCAGAACACCCTTTCCCACTGAACCTAAGTAACTAGGACTTTGTGTAAGTTCCCTAATATGCAGGATTTTATTGGATCAATTATAGCTGCCTCATCGTTGTTTGGAGCTTCATCTTGTCACTAATTTACTCATTTTTGTATGGCCTACTGGGCATCTTGGCACTAATAAACTTTATAATTATTGTTTCATGCATTTGCTAGAACCACCTTTGGAAAACGTACGGGCGTCACAGATAAAAATACTGGAATTCAAATATAGGGCACCACTGTTTCTGCTCCTGTGTTTGGCTGTTTGCTGCTCTTGAATAGTATACAATTTATTACTTTTTGTGAACGTTTAGAATATTAACATACTGTCATGACCCTTGCACCTGTGCAGAACCCTGGTCAGTTTAAAGTGTATTCTGGTGGACTTGCATGGAAGAGACAAGGTGGAGGAAAGACCATCGAAATTGACAAAGCTGATGTAACCGCAGTTACTTGGATGAAAGTCCCCAAAGCATATCAGCTTGGAGTCAGGATTAAGGATGGCCTGTTCTACAGATTTATTGGCTTCCGTGAACAGGTCCCCCCTCAACTCTCCGCGCGTGCCTTTAATATTATGTAGTTTATTAATGGTGTTGGTATTGGAAATAAAGAGGCTGCTGCATCTGGAGAATTGTGTATCTAGAACACTTGAATCTAGATGCATTTCTTAGTAAAATTAGGATATATTTGTTGATGCAAAACTTATACAGTTAAAAGTAGCACTAGCTTTGTCTAGTTTTCTTAGAATTTTGGAAATCCACTTTGCTGACCAGATTTTCTATCTTAATATGGCATATGATTATAATGAATATCGCTTTAATATGAATTAGATCATGGAAAAGGAGAATGCTTAGTTTGCCCATGTTACTCTGCTGTGAAACTGAATAGTTTCTGCCTTGCTATATGTGACATTTTATTTTGGTATATGTTTTTCATCTGTTGATTAAACCTTGAGCAGTTCGATCTTTATATCCACTAAAGCAAACTCTTCTTGTTCAAATTAAGGTGAATAGTTATTATATTCTTTCATGCCATTTGGTATGCCTGTCCTAAACAAGTCTTGCAGAATATGGTATCTTTTGTACATACTGTATCTATTATGTAGTTAAGACTTACCTATAGATAATATTTGAAGGAATATTGTTCATGATTCTGTATGCAGTGTTATTCAAAGATGGAAAATTCAAAATTATATTTGGATTATCAGATTTTCTTTGGATTTGGTTGTCTTAAAATATTGTCAGTCATTTCTAAGAGTATGCTTTGACTTTTCAGTAAAGATGAATGGTGAGGTTAATATATTTCTCTTATTGTTACCTGACGAAAATATTTGATCTTGTCCTTTCTTGCATAGGATGTGAGCAGCTTGACCAACTTCATACAAAAGAATATGGACGTCACACCAGATGAAAAACAGCTCTGTTAGTGGCCACAATTGGGGAGGGATTGATATAGATGGTAATTTGGGTGACCTTTTATTATTTTAACATGGGACCCTTTTAACATATGTTCAGTTTGATTTTAATGTATGTTACCCTTGCCTCTGTAGAAAACATGCTAACCTTTATGGTTGGTTCAAAGCAAGCATTTGAAGTATCCCTAGCAGATGTTGCACAAACCCAGATGCAAGGGAAAACAAATATTCTCTTAGAGTTTCATGTTGATGATACTACTGGAGCCAATGAGGTTTGTAGTGGACAGTAGTTGTAGTGGATCCACTCATATTTTCTGCATTGCCGATGAGGTGCTAGTCGATCTCATTTGATACATGTAGCTGATACTGTAGACTTATCATTGATGAATCATTGATTCATGTTTGTAATGGCTGACCACATATGTATGTCTTAGTGAGTGTTTGGACTTGCGCATGAATGAATCTATTTGTATGAGAAACGTGCACAATGATGTTACTTTTGTATTAATTTGCAACCAAATGGTCTTTTATTTTTTTTAAATGCATTTAAATGATCTCGACAAACCATCCGTCGCTGAAAACATTTGTAACTTCAAATTGTCTGTCGCTATAGAGTACTGGGAGGCTATCTGTCGCTAAAGAGTAGCAGCAGTTATCTGTCGCTAAAAAAATTTAGAGCAACGGACTGTCTGACGCTAAAGATTTTTAGCGACAGGACTTACAGCATCTGCAGAAGTCTGTCGCTATAACTTTTTAGCGTCAGATCGTCCATCGCTAATCTTGGTGTTGTGGTGTAGTGATCTTTGATGACTTGTTTGGATTCAGTATCCTGGCCATTCGTCTGCGCTAGCCGATTAGAAGCTGGCCCCCCGAGTCTATAATTATAATCGGCTATCAGAGGAGATAATCATGAACATCAGCCACTTCCTCGTAGATGGAATCTTCGACGCGGCCTTGCAGGCAAAGGTGCTTTATGTCAAAGCTGTTCATGGATGGATGGACCAGTATGCCTCGTGCGCCCATTCAAGGAGTAGCTAAGTGACGAACACTGGTGGGACATTTGGGAAAAGTTGCGGTCTCAGCAAGCCGCTACGCAGAACCGGCTGCACTACCACCATACCGATCTTCCTCCTCTCCCATGATCGTCAGATACTCTGCTGTTTGCTCCCTACTAGATGTGGAAATATAGAACTGAGCCGATGAAGGAGCAGCTGATGGAGGTGGGGGAGCACGAGCGCTTCCCCTTCATCACGTAGCCATCAGGTAACTACTAGGACAGTAATGCACTTGGTTTTTCTAAGCCAATGGTTGATTTAATTCATAGTTTGATGCCTGTACAGCCTCCATGCTTATTCGCTTGTTGTTGCCGAAACCTCTTCTGCCATCTTGTTCTTTGCTGAATGTAAAAACACAAAACCGAGCTGTACAGAACTGAGCCGATGCGCTGTGCAGAAAATCAGCCGATGAGTTGTACAGAACATCAGCAGATGAGCTCATCTGAATGTTTATTGGTGTGCATCATCCACTGTACGAATTTGAAGTGGCAAAGATCGTATACTGGCCGAAGCTTGCTTGCATCTGCTGCTGCTATCTTTTCCAATGAGAAAACTAGACGTTGATAAACAAATATCATGTATCCGATCGCGGCTCGTTTCATTAACCAATTTCCAATGATGCTTGTCTGGATTCCATGAGCAGTTGCGATCGGCTTGGTAGCAGCAGGAGGAGGGATCCGAACCAATGGATATGGCGACGGAGTATTTTGGGTCAGACTGACAACGTCATCGGTGGCGGTTGGTAGACACGTGGACCACGCAGGTACACCTGGCTCTGATGGAAAATCCTTTGTGCTTGTATGACCTATGTCAATAGAGTCCGTTTCTGTCTCGATCGGATTCCGTAGAGATCTTGCTGGAGAAGTTGATGACTTAAGATACATCCAGATTTATCTTGCATCATCCATGACATGCATATACTATTTAAATATGGTAAGTCCTCGAGCTAGCTTGTCCATGTAAATTTGACGTGGGCACGCATGCACCATATTAACTGTCCTTATCCCACTTGAACCGATAACTTTGACATTAGTCTCATAATTACTGACTCCAGTTATGTTCTCGGCTCTAGCTCAATGCCTTCTTGGTATTGGCAACGCGCATGCACATGCGGCCGACAATATCCCTCGGTCTCAAGATTTCGAAATTCTTTATCAAGGTGACGGCCCCACAATCCACATCACAAGTGCATAGTCGATCCTAGAATCTCCGTCTTGTAGGCAGCATTAGAATCAGAACAGTCGAGGAGGTTCCACTGCAGCGCTCTTTGCCGATTTGCCATCTGATGTTTGATATGCTTCACAATTGGATGCAGACACATACCCCTTCCAACTTTGTTTGCTTGCATCCACTCCGACTCTATTTCTTCCTGTACGTGATCTTTCCTTCCTTCATACAGCATTTACCGAGCCGGATTCTTAATTTAGTTGGCTTTGATTTGGACTCCACAACTCGATGTGTGAATTAATTGCGGCAGCCAGGCAATTACAGTCCGATGCAAAGCCTTCAGATCTTCAATATGAAACCGAGAGGAAATAAACGTAATCGGCAGTGGGGCCTGATTCGTTACTGAACTTCTCCTGTGCATGTGGATCCTGGTCGACTACAATATCTCAAATAATCGGCCACAGAATATAAAACATTTTAATATGTCCGATTAGCAGGATATTCAAAACGCCAATGTTTGCTTTTCTCAATAGGCAATCACGGCCTCGCCACGAACGAGCTCGGGACAGAGCATCTTTGCCGATGACACGAGGATTTGCCGAGGGAAAATGCTCGGACACTCGGCAAAGAGTCTTTGCCGAGGGTCTGACCCTCGGCAAAGAACAGCCCTCGGCAAAGACTCTTTGCCGAGGACCAGACTCTCGACAAAGACAAGCACACGGCAACAATAATTATTTGCCGAGGGCTAAACTCTCGGCAAAGGCCTGGCCCTCGGCAACACCATCTGACACGATGTCCATCCTCTACCGTCAATCTTTGCCGAGGGCATCACCGTTAGGCCCTCGGCAAACACTTTTTAACCGTTTTTGAAATTTTTCTTTTAAAATTTTTTTTGCCGAGTGCCTCTGGGCTAGCACTCGGCAAAGACAGTCTTTGCATTTTTTTTGTTTTTTTGACCCCAAATTTTTTGTTGGGTCCGCCTACATTGTTTACAACTTCATGTTCAAATTTGGTGTTTTTTCTAGTTTTTTTGTTATATTTGGTTGATTAATTTGATTATGTTGATTTTTTATATATAATTCAAATTTGAACTGCAAGTGCATGGAATATTGTAATCTAGTGCTTCGAAAAATGTTATTCATGGTATTTGATGTATGTTGAGTCTCTATCCACGAACTCGCATCAAATTTCGCGCATCTTCTTCACGTAACATGACGAGCCACTTGCCGGAAAAGTGTTTTAAAATTGTATAAAGTCCATCGTAAGTCCGAAAATCACGAAACTTGTCGAGGTGTCATGTTATCGCATGTGTAGGCTGTGGTAAAAAATTGAGAATGTTTCGAGCAAGTTGCGACGTCAGATGCATAAAACCCAGACATCTCCACATGTGCCACAACCTACACATGCGATAACATGACACCTCGACAAGTTTCGTGATTTTCGGACTTCGTATGGACATTATATAATTTTAAAATACTTTTCCGGCAAGTGGCTCATCATGTTACGTGAAGAAGATGCGCGAAATTTGATGCGAGTTCGTGGATAGAGACTCAACATACACCAAATACCATGAATAATATTTTTCGAAGCACTAGATTAGAATATTCCATGCACTTGCAGTTCAAATTTGAAATAGTCGGAAAAATTCAACGAAACAAAACTAATTAAGGAAATAAAGTAAAAAAACTAAAAATTGTCCCAAATTTTGAAATAGAGTTTTAATTACTGTAGCAAGGCCCCAGAAAAAAATGGGGCGAAAAAAAAATACTTTGTCGAGTGCCAACCTTGGCACTCGGTAAAGAAACCTTTGCCGAGCGCCAGATCACAGGGCGCTCGGCAAAGAATTTTTTTAAAAAAAATAAAAAAACCTTTGCCGAGTGCCGCTGGGCCTGGCACTCAGCAAATCTTTCAACCTAAAGGCCTAGAATGGGCCGGCCCAACCCCACCCCCTCCTCACTCATCTCCCACCCGCCCCCACGTCACCGCTGCCGACCCCCCGCCCCTGTCCCGGCGGCGCTCGCCCCGGCGCCCGACCGGTGCTCCCGCCCAGCCCTGGCGGCCCCGCGCCTGCGCCCCGGCGGCCCCGCGCCCGCGCCCCGGGTCCTCGGGCTCCGAGCTCCCCGGGGACAGCGACCCAGCCGACCCCGAGCTCCCCCGCCGGCCCTGAGCTCCACCGGCCCCGCCATGCCCTGCGGCTGGACAGCAGAGGGAGAAGGAGAGGAGCAAGAGGAAGAAAGAGAACGGGGAGGAGGAAGAGGAAGAAAGAGAAGGGGGAGGAGGAAGAAGAGGAAGGTGCCGACCTGACCGCCCGTCGATCCTCACGCCGTTTCGACCGCCCGTTGATCCTCGCGCTGCTGCGGTCATCCCCGCCGTCATCGCCGGCCCTCGCTCTTGCCGTTCTTGCCGCCAAGGTAAGCCCTACCCTTGTAGTGTTAGTAGTAGTAGTAGTTAGTAGTGTTAGTAGTAGTTAGTTGTAGTGTTAGTAGTAGTAGTTAGTAGTGTTAGTTGTAGTAGTTAGTAGTGTTAGTTGTAGGGTTAGTAGTAGTAGTAGTTAGTAAATAGTAGTAGTTAGTAAGTAGTAGTGGTTGTTAGTAGTAGTTAGTAGTGTTAGTTGTAGGCTTAGTAGTAGTAGTAGTTAGTAAATAGTAGTAGTTAGTAAGTAGTAGTGGTTAGTAGTAGTAGTTGTTAATAGTTAAGTAGTTCTTAGTATTAGTACTGTTAGTAGTTAAGTAGTTGTTAGTAGTAGTGTTAGTAGTAGTTGTAGGGTTAGTAGTAATTATTGTTGTACTACTCTTTCATCTGCATGGAAAGAGAACTAAAGTACATGGCTCCTCTTGATATATTGGTGGTTATTGGCCTTCGTGCCCATGTTTGGTATATATATGGTTGTTGGCCTTTGTGCCATGTTTTTTGCAGGTTTTGGGAACCTCCCCGTGCAGGGGAGGTGCTGTTGAAATTTTGAGTCGACACTAACCATTTTTGCCCTTTTTGCAGGAGGACCTGTGGGAGGGACTCGGCAACCCCGATCGTCTTCGTCAGCGCTGTGGGTCTTCCTGCACCGCGTCGACTCGCCATTGCACCGACTCTCCACCGCCCCGCTACCCTGACCTCACCGGCACCCTAGGTATAACCCCTCTATCCGTATGTGGTCTTTGGTCACGTAACCTAGTTAGGTGTCTCCTGTCCGAAAGAGATATGGTTGAAGGTATACAGATCTTTGTATATCTACGACCGTATCTGTTTCAGATTGTCCATGTTTTTTGGACAGCCCGCGGATGCGTAGATGGGTTAGTTTCCATGGTCCACTCCGGTCCGAGATGGTGTTTTGGCATCACCCCCTGTTGTTCTCCGGATACACACTCTCCCTTGCAGGACATGCATCGGGAGAACAGCGGGGAGGTGCTGCCGAAATTCTATCTCAGATAGGGAGCAGAGCATGGAAACTAACCTCATCTACGTATCCACGGGTGGGATTAGGACCTATCCTCACCTATTAGAGAGTAGGAACACCGCGTAGATGCAATTGATGGTTACATTACTATGTGTTGTATATGTGGAAGGATGGAAGACTGTCAGTGGATGTACACGGGCCGGAGAAGCAGGAGTGACTTTGACATTGAGTGGGTGAATGGGACAGATGCTTTCTTGGAACATGCATGGAGCTTGGGTGTAGCTAAAGGACATTCTAAACTTTGGTGTCCCTGTAGCAAATGTCTCACCATCTTGCCGTCTTACTCGCAGGAGGCTGCACACCTAGGCATGGAGGTCTCGGAGTTCTCTGCGTGGGCTATGTCCCACATGGGTAGGGCGTCTTCCTCTGTCTCCTTCAACCCGTCTGCCCCGCGCGAGGTGTACTCCGACCCAACCGTGCACACTAAGGTCCAAGAGTACACCTCAAAGGTGAGGGAGGTCCATGGGGAAGATTACGATGTGCGCACTAAGCCCATTGATGCAGAGACCATCATGAGGCTAGGAGGAGGCAAGAAGCATGGGCGGCTGTGGATTGTAGACGGCGCCATCGACTCCACCACTGT